GTGTTTATGGGGGGGCAGTGTGTGTGTATGGGGGGCAATGTGTGTGTATGGGGGCAGTGTGTGTGTATGGGGGGCAATGTGTGTGCATGGGGGCAATGTGTGTGTGTACACCCCCACCCCCCCAGCCTACCTGTCACTGGGGGTCAGGCAGCCATCTTCTGAAGCAGCACGGGCTGCTGCATTATGGCGGGGGCGAGGCTTATCGGCGGGAGGCGGGGCTTCGTTTGGGGGCAGAGCCTGTGCCGGGGAGCCAATCAGTGCTCCCTCCGGCCACAGACAGCCCCCAGCACCTCTCTCCTGCATTCCCTTGGGCTGTAACAGGCTGTTACAGTCCGAGGGAAGCCCATGGCCAGCAAGTTGCTGGCATTTGGGGGGGCCCAAGGGGCCATGGCCCCCTCTGCCCCCCCCCCTAGTGACGCCACTGCCTTTAACATGGTTTCCATCACTTTCCCCACTACTGAAGTAAGGCTTACTGGCCTATAGTTGCCCGACTCCTCCCTATTACCTTTCTTGTAAATGGGCACAACATTCGCTAACTTCCAATCTTCTGGGACTACTCCTGTTAACAATGATTGGTTAAATAAATCTGTTAATGGTTTTGCTAGTACACCACTAAGCTCTTTTAATAGCTTTGGGTGTATTCCATCAGGTCCCATTGACTTATTTGTCTTTACTTTTGACAGTTGAAATAGAACCTCTTCCTCTGTAAACTCACGTGTAATAAATGACTCATTTATCCTTTTTCTCAACTGAGGTCCCTTTCCTTCATTTTCATCTGTAAATACAGAACAAAAATATTCATTGAGGCAGTCAGCTAGACCTTTATCCTCTTCTACATACCTTCCTTCTTTTGTTTTTAATCTAACTAATCCTTGTTTTACTTTTCTTTTCTCATTTATGTATCTAAAAAATGTTTTATCCCCCTTTTTTACTGACTGTGCTATTTTCTCTTCTGTGTGTGATTTGGAAGCTCTTATAACTTGCTTAGCCTCTTTCTGCCTAATCTTATAGATCATTTTGTCTTCCTCACTCTGGGTTTTTTTATAATTCCTAAATGCTAACTTTTTGTTTTTAACTATTTTGGCCACATCTGCGGAGTACCACAGTGGTTTCTTGAATTTTTTGCTTTTACTGACAAGCCTAATGCAATTTTCTGTTGCCTTCAATAGTGCAACTTTTAAATAATCCCATTTCTCTTGGACTCCATTTAAATTGCTCCAGTCTGATAATGACTCCTCTACCCATATTCTAATTTTAGAAAAGTCTGTTTTTCTAAAGTCTAAAACTTTTGTTTTTGTGTGGTGTGACTCAGTCACTGTTCTTATATTAAACCACACTGACTGATGATCACTGGATCCTAAACTTTCACCTACAGTAATATCTGATACCAAATCTCCATTTGTTAACACTAAATCTAGTATGGCCTCTTTACGAGTTGGCTCCTCAACAACTTGTTTTAGAGACAATCCCAGTAGGGAGTTTAGAATATGTGTGCTCCTGGCACAAGTAGCTAATTTTGTTTTCCAATTTACATCAGGAAGATTAAAGTCACCCATGATGATAACTTCCCCCTTCATTGTCATTTTAGCTATTTCCTCAACTAGTAGATTATCTAACTCTTCAATTTGTCCTGGGGGCCTATAAATCACACCTACACGAGTTACTGTGTGATTACCAAATTCTAACGTAGCCCAAACGGACTCTATGTTTGCCTCACTAACTTTTATTAGGCTAGATTTTATGCTATCCTTCACATACAAGGCCACTCCTCCCCCTTTCTTGCCTTCCCTATCTTTCCTATATAAAGAGTACCCTGGTATTGCTATGTCCCAGTCATTTTTCTCATTGAAGGTATGTATTCAGATAAACACTTCTTTATGTCTCAGCATCGCCTCAAAAAAACCAAAAACTGCGTTCATTCAAGGGCCAAACAACAAAGTTGCCAAGTAACCTATTTTTTGTTATAATTTTTAAGTTTTTTTTTTTATATGCATATACCAATACTGCACAAAATAAAAAAAATCTTCTCCAGAACCATTAAGACTACAGATATGACTTCACTTCAATTTTTCAGTAAAGTTATACTGTGACCTAGATTGAGATTTTTTTGCAACCATTTTGGATTGTGCAAACACCTTTAATTAAACATGTGAAAACATATGTTACCTCTGTAATAGATTTGCCACATGCAGCATGTCTACTGATGTTCAAATCCAGTTGATACCAAAATCAAGATGGATCCCATTAGCCAATGACCTTAGAATTGTCCATCATTTGCATACATTTTTATTTATTTTCACTATTGAACTATATGATACTTGTTAGACATATTGATTACTCAATAGCACCGGTATCAATTACAAGGGGGTCAAAGGTTACAAATATCCGTGACCATTTTAAATTTCAAAAATGTAAAACTACAAACAAAGTAAACATAAAAATGGCCGCTCCATAGAGCAAGGCTTAACAAGGAGATACGTTGAAAAGAGGTTATTACAATATAATTTCTTCTATTGTATGTCTCTCTCTCGCTCTTTGTGTCCCTCTGCTCTTTCTCTTCCTGTATTCCTTTTGTTGCTTTTCCTAGGCCCTCCTGTTAGGTGCCATCATCTATCTATGTGATTGCTCCATTATTTGTTTCTTACCTCCACCAAATGGTCATCTTCTGTATATAACTGTTAAAAAATACTTTTTACTTGACTTTATACAAACAGTGCAAGGGGGGGACATAGGGACAGACAGAAAGAAAACTTAAGATGGAGAATTTGTTGTTTCTTCAAACTGAAATCCATAGTTTCCATACTCTCCCTGGTAGCTCTAGATTGACATTACTGCTGGGTCTTATGCAAAAAGTGCAAGTAACTGGATGATTGAGAACTCTGGCCCCACTGCAATGGAGCACTAAGGAATGATTGCATAAGCTTAGCAAGCCTGTGGGTGGTATATTTAGCATCTCTGTTTCATACCCTTGTTAAATATATTTGATGCTTACCACTTGCGCAGTATGTTTATACATTATGAAAATTTCAGCCACTAATATAAACTAAAGAAGTATTTCAAAATTAGGACACTAAATCACCTGCTTGGTGCGAACCTGTTCGTTCGCAGGAATATACAACTGACAAGAGGTCACCCCTTAAGACTGGAAATAACGTGTTCTATGGAAGTGACAGTTCCTCCTTAAAGATTTACTTTAACCGTCATAACCACTACAGTGCGCTACACTGGTTATGATGCCAGAAGCACTTTGGGCCCTGTGGTGTACTAAGGGGGAAGAGGAATCTGTCTGCACCGGGTGACATGCAGTAGGGGTGTACACAGGGCACTGCTCTCCTGCTAGAGCAGTCACTTGCCTACCAGCACCATGCTTACAGTGGTAATGTGCGGTAGGTGTATTACATGGGGCTGTACTTGAGGCGTGGGGCGCCAAGAGAGCTGCTGGGATTACTATTTTTCCAGGTTCCTTGCATGCTCTGTATTGTTGGAGCTAGGACATGGCATCATTCCACTTGTGGCAACCGTATAGAGCAGCAGGGAGCTGGGTAATCAGGCACTGACACTGATCTCAGCTAGACCCCTCTGGACCGTTGGCATGAGATTCCACTCCAGCTGTCCCTGTCAAAGTAAGAACAGGGTGGCTGTGTGTACCTCACTAAATAATATATATATTATTAAAAAAATGAAGTGTGTGTGTGTTATTTAATTATGTGTTTATATGAATGTCTGTGTGTGATTATGAGTATATGTATGTACATGAATGTGTGTGTGTGAGTCTGTGTGTATGTATAGCAATGTGTATGCATTTGAATATATGTATGTACATGAAGGGGAGTATTTGTGAATATAAATTGTATGTATCTGAACGTGTATGTGTATATGAATGTCAGTGAATTACATGTACATATGAATTATGTACATGTAATTTACCTAATAAAAGGGGGTTTGGGGTGGTTTGGGGGAGGCCCCAGAAAAAAAAATTGTGGGTGCCAAAAAATATTCCCCCTTCTCAGGTGCCATGTAACATGTATGCCTCAGCCTGACCCAGTTCCCAGGTAATGGGGCAAACCATTTCATTGCAAAACACTGCACGTACAGACTCCTGGCATCAATTAAGTGATCTGGGTGCTTGGAGTAAACCTTTAGTGAAAGATACTAAGATATTGGTGATATAAATATCTGACTAAGCAAACAATTTAGCTCTGAAATTATCCAATGTTTTATTTAACAAAGATATCTTGTTCCTTCACAGCCCTGAAATGCCAGAAAATGAAGCCACGTTTGCCATCACTGCTGGTGGAATTAGTGATGCAAAAGAATGACTGAACACTTTCAAATTTTCATATATTTGCTTTTAATGCATAGACAGAAGTAATACAACATGATTTCTCCATTAGACACATCCCAGTGGCTACCAATGTTAAGAAACTCAATTCTAGCTGTTACTAATTTTTCTGTGACTTTTGAATAAAGTTTATTTCAAAACCTTGTCATTTAAATAGTTTCAAACATAAAAGGAAGATGTACAAAAGGTAAATGTGAGTAAACATAATACTACAGATATATTAATATGGATGCACGATCACCAAAAAAAAATAAAAATATTAATTTCTAAAATTGAACTTGTTAAAAGTTCAAAGGAACATTCCATAACCACACGCAAGTGATTATAGTGCCGGTATTGTCTTGGCATTCACCTTAATGTAAGTTGTCAAACCATTTTCCAATGATTTGACTTCTTACCTGGGGTCTACGAGGCGCTGCTCCCTGTCTCTCAGAGAACATGAAGTCCTGTGCTTTAACTAAGCCTGGGATTAGCTTATTGACTGAGAACGTTTACCTGACACTCCGATAACGAGTTGGCCATGGACTACAGGACATCACTGATGAGAGCTAATGTTAGGTCCTAGCAGGAGACTCCAGTTCTCAGACTGTATAGTGGAGGGGACACACCTGGTAGCATAACCAGTACAGCTCACTGCAGTGGTTATGGTTCTCGGAGTGTTACTTTAAGGATGTGCGTGGTTAAAAAAAAAAATGCGCAACTGTAGCCTAATGTTTGCAATTCCCATGTCCAAAATCCATCTTTTTGTGAATAAAAAATGGAAATTGATTGCATTAAATATGAGACATTAAATAACAACATATACGAGGAGCATTTTGTTATGCAATCTCATGAATCTAATTTCCCTGCAAACTGTTAGCACCGTTTGGGTTTTAACTATTGGAGTTTTATGGTGGTATGTTCAGTAGGGAGTTTATGTATATTTTAACATTTTGTAGCTAATTTGTTTGACAAATAAAATAGTATCTAACTTGTATATTCCATGTATTGCAATTAAATACAGTGTAATTTATTTTGTGTTCTTTACCTATAATTACCATATAAAGTGACACTATGTGAACCAGTAAACAATATATTTATATGAACTCAAAAGGCGCCCAGACTTTTAGAACAAATTGCATAACTGAACATACGCCTTTCTGACGTCGCTGTGAGGTATACGGCAATTCTGGAAGAACTTTACACTTGTGGGCGGGGCTTCGTATGTTTTGCCGAAGGGGGATTTAGTCTGCGGAAATTGCGTATGACGCCATTTTAAGCTACATATCAAAGACAAGGGGCACGGCGGCCATTTTGTGCTGGAGCTTTGTCGTAGTTTGCTGGTCAGTATCTCTGCGTTTTAGTGAAATACTTACCAGTTTTCTACAGGCAAAAGTTCATTTTAAATATCAGATCGGGCCTTAGAGTCTCCGGCACCCAGAAATTCCGGTTTCGTTGGCTGTTGGTGCTTGTTGTGTCACTGCACATACATTTCCATAGGCGTATCGCCTAAACAGCGACGAGATGAGGGGAAGTTTCATGGATCGCGACCGAGGCGGGTGAGAACACAAATATATTATGTGAAATATGGGGACCGTGAGGAAAACCAGCTGTTCAACGCGTTTTCTGAGTAAAAATAAATAATAATTTAAAATGGCCCATCTTGGTATGTTTTTCATAGTGTAGCATTTGGTGACAGGAATTAAAGGGAAATGTAATCTATTATTTTACATAATAACCTGGCCCTTCAGGAGAGTAGACTTGCCATTTAAGGCCTGATTTTATTTTATTATTGTATTGTTTCTCATTTCATATTAGTTGCAAGCTTCTGTATCAGTTTCAGAGTTGCCACAATCCACCTTGTTTACCTGTGGAGTATAGACCTACCCCCCCTCATTTATATTGCTGAGAAGAAATAAAGGTATTAAAAAGGTGCTCTAAGCACCATAACCACTGCAAGCCACTGTAGCCTCCGTGCCAGCGAGATATTGTCGCTTAAGTGGTGCCCCGAGATATTTCAGTTATTCCTCTTTAGCAATATCAGTTTGTGTAACTTTCTCAGTTTGATTTCCTTACTTCGGGACAACGAAATGGGACTCTGGGCTCCATAACCGCTACAGTGGGCTGTAATGGTTAGGGTGCTTATAGCTTCCATTTACTAAGGAACACCGGCTGCAGCGGCATATGCCACATCATTTTTCTTGTACTGTAATTATCCAGGAAAATATGATGGCTCTGGCAATTCTAAGCGATGGTTACTATCCAGTAAGCTTTTCTGCAGATAGGGCTGTTTGTAAAATCATTGCTGTCTTAAGTAATGCGTTTTTTTTCTTCTTCTTCTATTAGATTTCATGGGTCCACATTTAATAAGTAAGTACTCATTTATTTATTTTTATAAAGTGTCCGTCCGTCCAAGCCAAAGCACTTGTTTGTATAAATGCTGCATAAAGAAACCAAAGCTTAAATTGAAGGTACCATCATACCAATTTCCCATTAAAAGTGTTGTTGTCTTGCATTTTTTTTCTAGACAACCCCTTTCAATAAAATTTAAAAAGTGCTTCTAAATCTAAAAGATGCCTCTGACAAAAGAGCAATGATTTTAATAAATTAAAACAGTGATTTTATCCACTAACGTTTTGCAAGTCCTTCCTTGAGAAATTATACTGGTCTGTGGGATGTTATATTGTCCTTTCCCTGTGGCATTCCACGCACTGCCATTTAATGCATTTCTCATAGATTTGGGGACAGTTAATGCTGTGACCTAACAAGAGATAGTCTCATGTATATCATACTGTAAATGTCATTTTTAACCCCTTCAGGACGGAGTCAATAGTGCACGTTCTGATCAAAACGTAAACAAAACTGGAATTTGCGCTATATGTCTGTTCAACCGTAATTCACCACTGTCACCTTAAGTGCACCCACACTTATTATATATCATTTTGTTCAGGAGAAACAGGGCTTTAATTTATCATTAACTATTCATATATGGAACATAATTTATTATGAATAAAATTTTAAAAAATGTGAGAAAATAAGATTTTTTTTTTAATTTGTATTTCCGTCTGACATTTTAGCTGTTAATGTCATAATACTGTTAGGTTTTACTGCACAAAAATGCACATATTTGTAATCAGCGATGTCTCACGAGTACAACAGTACCCCCCATTAACAGGTTTTATGGTGTTTTGGAAAGTTACAGGGTCAAATATAGAACGTTCCATTTTCAAATTGAAATTTGCCAGATTAGTAATGTTACCTTTGAGACGGTGTGGTAGCTCAGGAATGAGAATTACCCCCATAATGGCATACCATTTGAAAAAGTAGACAACCCAAGGTATTGAAAGTGGGGTATGTTTAGTCTTTTTTAGTAGCCACTTAGTCACAAACACTGGCCAAAGTTAGTGTTCCTATTTGTTTTTGTGTGAAAAAAGCCAAAAACTAATATTTGGCCAGTGTTTGTGACTAAGTGGCTACTAAGAAAGACTGGACATAACCCACTTGCAATACCTTGGGTTGTCTACTTTTGCAAATGGTATGCCATCATGGGGGTAATTCTCATGATGGCATACCATACCATATGCTCTCAAAGGCAACATAACCAATCTGGCAAATTTCAATGTAAAAAAAATGAAATGCAAGCCTTATATGTGACTCTCTAACTTTCCAAAACACCATAAAACCTGTACATGGGGGGTACTGTTATTCTCGGGAGACTTCACTAAACACAAATATTAGTGTTTTAAAACAGTAAAACATATTACAACAATAATATAGTCCATAAAAGTGCTGTTCATTTGAAAAAAATGCAATAAACGTCACTTTTACTTAAAATATCGTTGTAATACAATTTACCAGTTTGAAACACTAATATTTGAGTTCAGCGAAGTCTCCCGAGTAAAACAGTACCCCCCTATGTACAGGTTTTATGGTGTCTTGGAGAGTTACAGGGTCAAATATAGTGCTTGCAAATTAAATTCTCTGCACTTTCTCCCTGTGTTGTCAGGCATGTCAATCAAATTTTAATTAATCAAATCACATAATTATGTTAAAAGATTACTTAAATATACACGTAGAATTTTAAAATATATACATTTATAGGTATTTAAATCTTATGTGTATACTAATGTAATCTTTTATGTAATTATATGTATTTATCTATATATGTGTGTGTGTGTGTGTCTCTCTCTCTCTCTCTCTCTATATATATATATATATATATATATATATATATATATATATATATATATAATATATTATACTATATTATATTTGTGGTTATTTGTTTTTTATATATAGATTGTCATTCAAGTGTATTTTGTTATATATATATATATATATATATATATATATATATATATAACAATATACATTTAGAATGAAATTACATATAAATATATAATTTATATTAAATTTTATTTATTTTTATTTCATTTATTTGTAATTATACGTGTGTGTGTGTGTGTGTGTGTATATATGTATATATATATATATATATGTGTATGTATATATGTAACGTCATTCTAAGTGTATTTTAAAATTTATATATACTTATATTAACATTAAAATACATTACATATCACGTTACATATATATATATATTATATTTATAATATATATTTTATATATACATATATACACATTTAATTTATTTTAAAACATGTTTAATTTTTTTTTTTTTTTTTTACTTTCCCACCAGCAGGGGGACTGTCTGACATTTCAGACAGTCCCCCTGCTGGCAGATCCACAGCCAGCTATAGGGGGCCATGTGATCGCTCTTTGAGAGCGATCACATGGCCCCTGGGGACCTGATTTGCCGGGGGAGGGCTGCCTGGGCTGTCAGGCAGCCCTCCAGAAGAGGATCGCGGCTGAGGTGAGTACTGCGGACCTCCAGGGGCTGCCCTAGCCACACCTACCTGCATGTGACTTTCACAATCTTCCTACACACTTCCTGTAAAGAATCATCTAATGTTTACACTTCCTTTACTGCAAATTCCATTTAATTAAGATTTTTTTTTTTTTTAAATCTCTTGCTCTGTTAATAAGCTAACTAGGCCCTGCAGGGGTCTCCTGCATTTAATTAACGTTCAGTTTACAGAGCAGGAGAAAAAAATGTTTAAATTAAATTACATCTAATTGGAAATGAAACAATTTTGTTTTCATGCAGGCTGTGTCAGTCACAGCTAGGGGAGGTGTGGGAAGTTCTGCATTAACAAAAACAAAAGTGATTTAACCTAAATGGCAGTGAATTGAGCAGTAAAACCTCAGAGGCATGATTTTAAACAAAAAAACTGCTTTACTAAGCTAAAGTTGTTTTGGTGACTATAGGATCCCTTTAACCCCTTAAGGACCGCGGACGTATGAGGTACGTCCGACAAAAAAAACAGTACTTAAGGATCGCGGACGTCCCTCATACGTCCGCGGTAAATTTGAGTGCTGGAAGCGATTGTGAACGCTTTCAGCCTCTCTAAGGGTTTTACACGATGCCTCGATATCGAGGCATTGTGGAATACCCTCCTCTCTATCGGTCACCCGAGTGATCAGGCAAGCCTCTGATGCTCTGCCTGTACTGCCGGCGAGCGGTCTTCTTCTGAGGGGGACTGTCTGGGCTCAGCTCAGCCCAGACAGTCCCCACTCTGCAATTTAGGACCCGCAGGGCCCATGTAAAAGAACAGCCACATGGTCACAATAGGTGTCCACAGTGCAGCCAGCAGGGGGACTGCCTCGACTGACAGGCAGTCCCCCTGCTGGTGGAAAAAATGGGGGGGAGAAATTAAAATAAAGTTAATAAATTAACAAATATATATCTTATATATAACATCCTACTAAGTGTACTTTTTTATTAAAATATCCTACTAAGTGTACTTTTTTATTAAAATATATATATATATATATTTTAATAAAAAAGTACACTTAGTAGGATGTTGTATATAAGATATATATTTGTTAATTTATTAACTTTATTTTAATTTCTCCCCCCCCCCACTTTTTTTTATTTTTTCCAGTAAATATGTTTTACTGTTTTAAAACTCTAATATTTGTGTTTATTGAAGTCTCCCGTGAATAACAGTACCCCCCCATGTACAGGTTTTATGGTGTTTTGGAAAGTTAGAGAGTCACATATAAGGCTTGCATTTCATTTTTTTGACATTGAAATTTGCCAGATTGGTTATGTTGCCTTTGAGAGCGTATGGTAGCCCAGGAATGAGAATTACCCCATGATGGCATACCATTTGCAAAAGTAGACAACCCAAGGTATTGCAAGTGGGGTATGTCCAGTCTTTCTTAGTAGCCACTTAGTCACAAACACTGGCCAAATATGAGTTTTTTGCTTTTTTTCACACAAAAACAAATATGAACGCTAACTTTGGCCAGTGTTTGTGACTAAGTGGCTACTAAAAAAACTAAACATACCCCACTTTCAATACCTTGGTTTGTCTACTTTTTCAAATGGTATGCCATTATGGGGGTAATTCTCATTCCTGGGCTACCACACCGTCTCAAAGGTAACATTACTAATCTGGCAAATTTCAATATGAAAATGGAACATTGTATATTTGACCCTGTAACTTTCCAAAACACCATAAAACCTGTTAATGGAGGGTACTGTTGTACTCGTGAGACATCGCTGATTACAAATATGTGCATTTTTTTTGCAGTAAAACCTAACAGTATTATGACATTCACAGCTAAAATGTCAGACAGAAATACAAATTTTAAAAACAAATCTTATTTTCTCAAATTTTTTAAAATTTTATTCATAATAAATTATGCTCCATATATGAATAGTTAATGATAAATTAAAGCCCTGTTTCTCCTGAACAAAATGATATATAATAAGTGTGGGTGCACTTAAGGTGACAGTGGTGAATTACGGTTGAACAGACATATATAGCGCAAATTCCAGTTTTTGTTTACGTTTTGTTATGATCAGAACGTGCACTATTGAATCCGTCCTGAAGGGGTTAACAAGTGCTTTGATGCAAACTGGGGCTCTTCCCTGGTGCCGAGGTGCTGATCTCATTTCATTTGCATTGATAATGCTGAATTATCTTCAGTATTATCAGTGGCAATGTCCTCGAAGCTGGATGACCTTGACTGGCTAAAAGTGGTAGGCTAATTTGAGAGAATGTTGTCATAATTTTTTGTTGCAGTAAAAAGGGATTATGGTGATAAAAAAAGTGAATTCAATAAAATATGTGCTGCAATGGAGGGGTACATACATACATACATATCTCTATCACACAGTAGTTACTAAGTTGCTTCTCAATGAGCATACACTCAATAATGTTCCAAAGCCTAATGATAAGCCGTTTGTTTGCAGTGACTAACGCTATAGTTAATTATTGTGCCCTCAACATGTTGGATATCTATTTTTATGTAACTTTTTATTTGTTGTGGGTTTAGTGCTGGTGGATCTCGATTTCCAAAGTTTGGGAATCCAGGAGAAAGACTCCGCAAGAAACGATGGGATCTAAGTGAACTTCCAAAATTTGAGAAGAATTTTTATTCAGAGCACCCGGAGGTAGCACGCATGGCACCGGTAAGTAAGGATAGGCATTTACATGTTTGCTTTTCTGGACTGTTCTTCTGATAATATTTACCATTTTCTTTACACATTTCTTGTGCATTGTATTTCTAACGCTGCCATATTATCTGTATTGGATTTTATAGCGCTCACATATTGGTTTTTTTTGTGTTCTTCTGATAGCCTATGTTACCTAAGACATTTTTTTTTCTATGCTAACAAAAAGCTCAGAAGTAGTGTATGTGTGCTTAAATTCAATTAGAATTTAGCTACTAAATTGTTTTAAAAAAAAAAAAAAAACACAAACGAGGACTAGTCCTTTTAATTTCATGTTAAAGTGACGATTCTAAGATAGTGAGCCATATGTTATAATGCCTGCTTTATACATGCAGAGGATGTATTTAAAATCAGTAGACATTTATATCAACTTTTAGCTCTGTCTACTCCATTAATTAGCTTCGCTAATCGGGAACCTTTCATTCTTGACTATAGAATCTAAATTGTTGATATGCTTAAACCAGCACTCAAAAAGTTTGGTATGCAAATCAGAAAATGGCTGTGTAACTCTTTGTGGAGAGTAGAAACATGCACCTGTATTTCAATCACCTATAAATCTTGCCTATTTGTCTGTACAAGGGAGGTTTGCGGAGTAGCAGATTCCAAACCTCTCTGCACAGACTCTGATTTTGGCCAGGTTATGTTTTTCTAGAAGTTCTAAGCTGTCAGCTTTCTACTTCTTTAAACTGGTAGCTGAACTAGAACTTTAAGGAAGCTTTGCTGTACTTTATGATGAAATGCATAGATGCGTTATGAAAAACTCCGGGTTAGGAGGGAGAGGCAGAAAGGGAGAGATCACGTATTGAACCCAGGTACAGGCAGAAGAAAGCAGAAATAACATTTTCACCATTTTACCTGTGATGTATGAACCGTGTGTATGCAACATAATGATATATTTTTGGTTTCTAGCATGATGTAGAGGAATTGAGGAGGAAGAAGGAAATAACTTCAAGAGGAAGTAATTGCCCCAAACCTATCTATGCTTTCCATCAAGCTAACTTCCCACGTGAGTCGCATTTTGTATTGAATAATCATATGTTTAGAATACTAATCGATTTGTTACCTCTTTATTGAGGTTTTTAATCCAGTTTAGTGTAGAGAAAAAGTTAAGAAGCATCTTTGTTTGAATTGCAGAGTATGTTATGGATGTTCTTTTGGATCAGCGTTTTAAGGAACCTACACCCATCCAGTGCCAGGGATTCCCACTTGCTCTAAGTGGTCGGGATATGGTGGGCATTGCCCAGACTGGATCTGGCAAGACGCTGGCAGTAAGTCTTTATACATAGTCTTTTAAGCGGTTTGTGCCTACTAACAACACAAATGTATTCCTGTATATCCCATTAAGAATATTTTGAGTGATAGTCTTGGAGACGCCTATATATTGCCACACCCAACCAATCACCAGCACCCAATGCTTTTCTTATGTGCTCAGTATGGTGGTCAAACAGAGAAGAAAACGATCAGCGCAGATAGGTGTCCAGAGAGCAATTTATGTGTTAAACTATTTTTAAAACGTTTCAACACTTTAAAGGAACACAACAGGTGCCGAGACCACTTCATTTCAATGAAGTGTTGTGGTTGCCCGGTGTCTCCCATTTTAACCCTGCAACTGAAAACACTGCAGTTTTTGCAGGAACAGCAGTGTTTATTTTGCAAGAGTAATCTGCCTCTCGTGGCTGTCAGACTACAGCCACTAGAGGCACTTCTGTGAAGTAGCAGGATAAACCTCTCTTCTTATCAGATGGTCTTAGAAAACAATTTGATTTGACACACGCTACCCTCCCATTGCTTTCCCGTGCCAAATTATTACATAGTTACATAGCTGAAAAGAGACTTGCGTCCATCAAGTTCAGCCTTCCTCACATTTGTTTTTTGCTGTTGATCCAAAGGAAGGCAAAAAAAAACAGTTTGAAGCACAATTTTGCAACAAGCTAGGAAAAAAATTCCTTCTTGACCCCTGATAACCATGTTCTTCTCAAGGAATTCTTGAATATTATCTCTTAATAACCTTTCAAATATTTTACCAGCCACAGAAGTTAAGCTCACAGGTCTATAATTTCCAGGCAAGGATTTTGAACCCTTTTTGAATATAGGAACCACATCTGCCTTCCTCCAATCCTCCGGAACACTTCCTGAAAGAGAAGAATCTTGAAAGATTAAAAACAGAGGTTCACTTATTTCTACAATTAGTTCCTTAAAGGACCACTCTAGGCACCCAGACCACTTCAGCTTAATGAAGTGGTCTGGGTGCCAGGTCCTTCTAGGGTTAACCCATTTTTTCATAAACATAGCAGTTTGAGAGAAACTGCTATGTTTATGAATGGGTTAAGCCTTCCCCCTAATCCTGTAGTGGCTGTCTCATTGACAGCCAATAGAGGCGCTTGCGTGCTTCTCACTTTGATTTTCACAGTGAGAGCACGCAAGCGTCCATAGGAAAGCATTGAGAATGCTTTCCTATGTGACCGGCTGAATGCGCGCAGCTCTTGCCGCGCGTGCGCATTCAGCCGATGGGGAGGAAAGGAGGCGGATCGGAGGAGGTGAGCTCTCCACCCAGCGCCGGAAAAAGGTAAGTTTTAACCACTTTCCCCCTTCCAGAGCCGGGCGGGAGGGGGAACCTGAGGGTGGGGGCACCCCCAGGGCACTATAGTGCCAGAAAAACGAGTATGTTTTCCTGGCACTATAGTGGTCCTTTAAGTACACGTGGATGGATACTGTCAGGCCCTGGAGCTTTGTTTATATTAACTTTCTTTAGTTGCTGCAGCACCTTGTCTTGAGTTAACCAATTACAATTATTCTCCAAGTTTTTAGTAGCAATCATTTGCACATCTATTGCCATGTGTTCTTCCTTAATATATACGGAGGAGAAATATTTAAAAGTTATTTAAAATTCCTGCCTTTTCCTGGTCTTCATTAACTAACACCCCCGTTTCAGTTTACCTACACTTTCATTTTTGGGTTTTTTAGATTATTTTTTAGAATTATGCAAAGACCCCAGCACTGAACAGGGCATTCAGGTAATTTTTGGTGGTTTAGGTTTTTTCCCCCTTCCCTTTATCCTCTACAGTTGAATACAGTATTAGATGATTTTAATGGTTAGGTAGTAAATGGCTTGTATTGCACCTGACAACCTTCTCTAGAATACATGTGAAGGCAGCTTGTTTTGCTGATAAATATTTTCACTTAGTAACCTGTTTCATCTCCTCCCTTACAGTATCTCTTGCCTGCCATGGTGCATATCAATCATCAGCCATACTTGGAGCGTGGAGATGGACCAATTGTAAGTGTACAATGTATTTGTTTTTCTAACTTTCTAATTTGTCTGTAGTGTTTGCTGTTAAAGGAACACTTCAAGCACCTTAGCCACTATACCTCACTTGTGCCCTCTCGAAGTAGAATCCGTATGTTTCCTCTGAGAAAGATGTATTCCTAGCACTGTGTTCCTCAGCCCCCATGCTGTAAAAGGTTTAATAACCCTTTATTCACTTACCTGATTTTACCTGTGGGTTGGTTGGCTTGTTCTCCACCTCCTACGTCATCCATTGGGGGGCTGGGGGGGTGGACCTAACCACATCACAACGGTCTTCTCCATAGAAAAACATTGCTTCAGTGCTTTACTATGGGGTTTTCTCTGATGCTGGATGTCCACATGCAGATTGTGTAAACGTCCAGCGTCGTCTTTTTACGGAGTGAATCTCCAGGATGTTCCTTTAGTTGCTGTCTAGTGTCTGTCTTTACATTGAAGGGCTAAGGGGGAAATAAAGAGTGCACCCAGACCACTTCAATGTGATAAAGTGATCTGGATGCCTATAGTGTCCCTTTAAGCATGATCTTCACCGGGCCTTGCTCGGCTTACATTCTCAGAGAATGGTCCTGCTTAGCTCAGTGAATCTAGCCAGATTCTCCTTGTAGGAGAATATGGAAAGAAGGGTGAACAGGGCGACCCAATTAAGTTGTTGATCTTTTCATTCATATATATATTCCTGCCACTGTAAATTCTATAACGGGCTATAGTGGTTGTGGTGCTTGGCTCCTTTAATGACTGACTCTGTTTTTAACTTCTCTCATCTCACATTGAATGTCTGGTCAATTTTTTCAGTTAGGAAATGACCAGAATATGAACATGTGAAAATATTTCTAACATAGAAACATAGAATGTGACGGCAGATAATAACCATTCGGCCCGTCTAGTCTGCCCAATTTTCTAAATACTTTCATTAGTCCCTAGTCTTATCTTATAGTTAGGATAGCCTTATGCCTATCCCACGCATGCTTAAACTCCTTTACTGTGTTAACCTCTACCACTTCAGCTGGAAGGCTATTCCATGCATCCACTACCCTCTCAGTAAAGTAATACTTCCTGATATTATTTTTAAACCTTTGTCCCTCTAATTTAAGACTATGTCCTCTTGTTGTGGTAGTTTTTCTTCTTTTAAATATAGTCTCCTCCTTTACTGTGTTGATTCCCTTTATATATTTAAATGTTTCTATCATATCCCCCCTGTCTCGTCTTTCCTCCAAGCTATACATGTTAAGATCCTTTAACCTTTCCTGGTAAGTTTTATCCCGCAATCCATGAACCAGTTTAGTAGCCCTTCTCTGAACCCTCTCTAAGGTATCAATATCCTTCTGAAGATACGGTCTCCAGTACTGTGTACAATACTCCAAGTGAGGTCTCACCAGTGTTCTGTACAGTGGCATGAGCACTTCCCTCTTTCTACTGCTAAAACGCATTCTTGATATATTGTGTAAATATTTTGAGGTAATTTGAATCCACGCATGGCTTAATGCCTATGGCCTGGATGATTAGTACGAAGTCAGCAACCTGGACAGATTTTAATTTAAATTTTTCTCTTTTTTCTTTCAATTATGCAAACATATGGAATTAAATAATTAAAATTTGCTGTCTTTCTTTCAGTGTCTCGTTTTGGCTCCAACTAGAGAGTTGGCACAGCAAGTACAACAAGTGGCAGATGACTATGGAAAGACCTCCAGATTAAAAAGTACCTGTATCTATGGTGGTGCTCCCAAGGGACCTCAAATTCGAGATTTGGAGAGAGGTATTAGAGATTTTAATTTTTGTTAGTTTTTAAAAGGACACTATAGGACCCAAATCAACTTTAACTTAATGAAGCAATTTTGGTGTATATATCATGCTCCTGCAGTCTCTCTGCTCATTTCTCTGACATTTAGGAGGTGTATGCAACCCTAGTCACACCTCCCTGCTTGTGACTTGCACAGCCTTCTTAAACACTAAACAAGAGAGATCTGATGTTTAAACTTTGTTTATTGCACAGTCTGTTTAATTTAGAATCTCCTGCTCTGTTAATAATCTTCTAGAGCGTGCAGGAGTGTTCTGTGTGACAGCATTTGAATTTAAAAATAAAGTTAACATCTGATTGCATTTTCTTTATGCAAGCTGAATGTTTCACATTCCGGTGAGGTGTGGTTAGGCTGTATAAACAGGAAAAAAAAGTGATTTGACTCCTAAATGACAGAGAATTAAGCACATGAAAAAAAGAATATCCGGGCACAGCTGAGGTTTATTTTAAAAGGTAGTCTTAATTTTAAACAAGGAACCTCCCTTTCTGGATCATCCTGCAGGGAGTACCCCCTTTTTTAGTGTGTGCATTTTATTCTTGGTTTTTTTGCAGAGAATAAAGCAGTGAGAATGAATGGACATAATAAATTCCCTCCACTTTATGAAATACTCATTATGACTGTGTTGGAATTTTACAGTCAAGAGAAATACAGAGACAGAGTATCATCTGAGTTTCTAAGATTCAGGGCACAGTTCCTACCCTCTCTCTGGCCACTAGGCTCTAGTGGCGATGTCATGTCGGGAGTCTTTGCGAATTCAGCAAAGTCCCCAGAGGGTGACTGTTCCACTTTAAACTAAAGTTGATTTGGTGCTTATAATGTCTCTTTAACTTTAAACCACACCTAAATTACTGTTCTATCTGTCTATTTATTTCATAGACCCCATGTTTATGTGACTTAAAGATCCTTAAAATGCCTGCAAATATGAGTTCTCTGTTTCTTAAAGGTGTTGAAATCTGCATTGCAACTCCTGGAAGACTCATTGACTTCCTTGAAGCTGGGAAGACCAACCTTAGGCGGTGTACTTATCTTGTACTGGATGAAGCTGATAGAATGCTTGACATGGGTTTTGAACCACAAATTCGCAAAATTGTGGACCAAATCAGGGTATGAAGTTAGATCTGTAATGCTTTACAGATTTGTTGTAGAAATTGGAATGCACATTCCAAACACTGTGAACACTGCAGCTTATATTGTAGTGTATATGGTATGCGAAATTTTTGGGTGCAGTTCCTCTTGCGTGTTTGGTTGACAAAAACAAGCACCTTGTGTTTTGTATACTGTATGGGCAAAATGCGGTGGTTATTTTTTTTTAACCTAGGAATTTTTTTTTTCTTCTTTAGCCTGACAGACAGACACTTATGTGGAGTGCAACATGGCCAAAAGAAGTCCGTCAGTTAGCGGAAGACTTCCTTCGAGACTATGTACAGATTAATGTAGGAAATTTAGAGCTTTCTGCAAATCACAACATCCTTCAAATTGTAGATGTGTGCCAGGAAAGTGAGAAAGATCACAAGTAGGTGTCGCTTTCATATTCCTGCTCTATTTACATTGATCTTAACATATTATATTGTCTTATAAGTTATAAAGGATTGCATTATTGTCTAGCTTAACTTTTATTTTTAAAAGCTTCCTGCATATGATTGTCCTCTAACATTGGACAACTAATGGATACTAGCAGAGATGGAGCAAAAAAAACGTATGTTAAGCACTAAGGGGTATTTTGTTTTGTTTTTTTTCCTTGTTTACTGTTGAAGACTTAATATGAGTACCTGTATACTGTTAACTGTTTTGGAGGTAATCAAGATAGGCAGTGTTGCAGTGTGACACATGAACATCCAATCACACTTGTATTTAATTGGTCCCATTTTTCTAACAAGTAATGTTGGCAACATGCAATTTATAGGGAATTCACCCTTTCAATTTGTACAGAAATAAGTGAAATGTGGTAACATCAGTTTCGTGTTTTTGTTCCATCTTTAATTCCCCAAATTAGGCTAATCCAACTGATGGAAGAAATAATGGCTGAAAAAGAGAATAAAACAATTATTTTTGTAGAAACAAAACGTCGTTGTGATGATTTGACTCGAAGAATGAGACGAGACGGGTGAGTGAAAGACATGTTTTTAGGCACTACTTTTGTTTTGCCATCCGTCTTCATATGGTTCACAAAATAAATTTGTATTTAACTTAAGGTGGCCTGCGATGTGCATCCATGGTGACAAAAGTCAGCAGGAACGTGATTGGGTTTTGAATGGTGAGTTAAACTTGAATCTAGTAAATTTAAGTTTTTTCTTGGAAATTATTATTTTTGTTTTACTTGTACAGCCTTATCTACTTGTATAAAGAGAGAAATGGTGTACCAAATTTAGGGGAGCTGGGATGAATAACAAATATACAGGTACAAGTAATCAATCCAGATAAAGAATCTCTATATCTAATATGGAAAATAAAAAAAATACTTTAATAATACAAGAATGTAAAAATTGCCAAATGGCAAATACCCTATTTTCTGTGTACAACCAAAATGTGCAATTACCCACAAAGCAAAGGGAAAAATAAAAAAGTGTGTGTGTATGTGTATATATATATATATATAATCTCTCTAAAAAATCCTAAATAGGAAAGTAATAAATCTAGATAAATGATTGTTACCTAGTAGAAACTGATGCCTAATAAATCAACCTATGAAGGATCAAATGAAATCTATCACCAGTATGTTAAGTATATAAATAAGCACACATCTGTGCCAGATATACTAATCAAACATGATGTGGCTCTGAATAGCAACTGCTACTCGGATCGGAATGAAATAGCTGTTATGACATACAAGTGCAGCAACTCACAGCCTTTAGCGATATACACTGTCTGTGATAATTATACTCGTGTAGATTCGAGAGGTGGTAGTGATGGCAAGGGGTAAGCTACAATATCAGCTAATTCCTTTGGTGGCAGGCATAGGTTAAGACTTTGTGCCGCATGCAATAACGCCTGGGACTGAAATGATGCAGAAAGCAAGGGGGGGGTAACCCAGGTGATTAAATCATAGCTTAAAAGAGTCTATTATATAGTCACCTTGCATCTGTGTCAGAACTTAGACATATGGTATGGCTAAACTGGGACTACCACTGTTACTAGCAGGCAAGACAATATATGGCTGTGGTTAGCTACCTATGAAGCAGTGCATGTGGCTCGGTTGGTGCCGGGAGCTGAGGGAGGGAAATGGCACTTTGAATAACAAAATATTGCTAGCTAATATATCAAAAGCTAGCGTGCAAAAAATAGACCTGAACCATTGCTCTGATGGAAAGGTCTATGTAAGGGTAATACTGCACTGATAAATAGCTGTGCTACACTACCACCCCCGTGCCTTCGAGGGCACCTCAAGCTTCTATCATTCTCGACAGCATTAGGACTTAATACTATGTTCTGCCATTAGCTATCTGGCTTTTAAGCACGTCTCTAGCTAACTAACTTTACGAAGGATCTTGTATCTATAGCTACCATGGGAATAGCTTGAGGTGGTTCAGGTCTATTTTTTGCACGCTAGCTTTTGATAGATTAGCTAGCAATATTTTGTTATTCAAAGTGCCATTTCCCTCCCTCAACTCCCGGCACCAACCGAGCAGGGTTGGAGGGGCAGGTGCAAATTTTAGGAGTATCCTGTAAAGGGTGGAGGGGGAATTTTTTTTAATAAAAAGTTGAACTTTGTGTCAAAATATCATCAATTCAGCCATTGTACTGTATGAAGCAAAAGTCTATTTCATAGCTGACTAATTCAGTTCAGGTTTTCATTAACACTGGTACCACATAATATAGCTCATTTTAAAATGGCTTCATGTACGTTTGAACCTTTTTCTCCTCTTCTCTCCATCTCTCTTACATTTCAGAATTTCGCTCTGGAAAGGCACCAATCCTCATTGCCACAGATGTTGCTTCTCGAGGTCTAGGTTTGTAATTTTATGGGACAAATGTCCTCTTATTAGGTTACTCTTTTTTTCCAACAGTACTTTCCTTTGATATCAAGACAGCTCAACTCATTGTGCTGCTAAATACAAGTCCATTTGATTTTATGTTGTTCAATACCGGAAGATGTCTGCAACATGATTTTAATGTAAATATAAATCCTAACCCAAACTTCATTGTACATTTTTATGGCTACAAGGCATACACATAACATTAACACATCTGCACAAAAACAAAACACTATATTTTGGGACTACTTCCTGCTTAGCCATTTTTGTTCCTCAATGTGTTTTTGGTTAACTTGCCAAGATATATTGCCCACTAATTATTTATGTTGTCAGATGATATCGATCATGCTTTCTAAAGAATATGTGCAGTATACCCCATATATTTATTTCCTCCTAAAACTGTTTTTTTTGGACTTGAGAATCATAAAGAAAGTCTGGTTGTATAAATTTAAGTATACATTACTCCCAGTTAGTAGCTATGACATATGGCTTTTGAGCATAAAAACCTCTATAGTAATATAAACTTATTTTTGCTTTAAATACATTTACATTGAGAGACTAATTAATTTAATCCCAGCAGTTGAATAACTATGATTTACAAGATTGTAATGTTTACCTGTTTCTTGATGTTCAGTGGAGACCTCCCCACATGTTTAATACATTGTAGCTCCTAAAGTTCCAGATTATCTGTACCAGTATGAATCATGTCACTTTACCTCTGTGGTTGATTTATTTGCAGCATTGTTATCTAGACGTTATAGGGTAATTTATATGCAAAATAGATAGAGTTTATAACCAAAGATTAGTACATTTATATTAAGTGGGAGTATGATATTTAAATCTATATATACCTTCTTCCCTTCACATGTTAAATGTGGGTTTATTATTGTGACTATATGCAACCTCAGTTAAAATATATCTCATTAACTCATAAGAGTACTTCATTTCACAAACTTTAAAACCACAGATTATGTCCTACTGACATACATTATATGTTTTATTTTTGTAAAAGTTCCAGTCTGTTTCTTGTTACTCACAATTCCTCCATTTTTATTCCTTCTTTTGAGAGGATGTGATGTTGCTTGGCTGTACATTTTATTGCCCACTTACCCTGGGATATTTGAGGCTTGCTCCTTGTGTAAATTAACAATTGATTTATGTACACAATATGTATTAGAACTTATCAAAAACTTCCTGGTCTCCTTCTCCCCAATGGAAAGGTGGTTCACTAGTGGTTAGTGATATCTACATTCCTAGTCACATCAGACTTACAGTATGTAGATGTAACCTGTGTGTGTATTTGTAAGTAATTATATTTTTGTAGATAATGTGCATGACATTTAGATCACTGTGTTAGTTGACAGCCAGGTAAGTTTCCACTACTTTTAAAGTATTTGTCTGCTCACTGTAGGGCTTTAACTTTAAGATTATTTGCAATATTAAATCATTTCATTTATTTTTTTTGACAGAAGCTGCAGATCTCTCTCAGTACAGGGCCAGTGGCCTGTCGAAAATAGAGGGGAATGAACGCTGGAAGCAGCCCCCATAAAGGGTGCTGGCTTCTTATACTCTTCCCTCGCAAAGGTCTTGTACTGAAGAGGCAGTTTTTGGATCTGCAACTCCCAGCTCCTTATGTTCCTCACTCTACAAAATGTGGGGTGTGAAATATGGTCATTCAACCCTGAATACTGAGCTGGGGCTACACCCCTTTCCCCTTTGGATGCTGGTGTGGGTTTGAAGTTGCCTGACCCTATTGAATAGACGGACCACCTTTCTAGAAGGGAGATCACACCGGTGCTTCCCACTAGACCATCTGCTGAGCAGCTGTGGGAAAGTCCCAAGCCATGGAAGACTTTGGGAAGTTTCTTGGCTGTCGAAGCAGAGTATTAGTCTCTTCTGCTAATCATCAGACTCTTGTGGCTTCCTCTTTCATTTCCAAATCTAAACCTAATTCCTTCTTCCCTGCCTACAAATGCAGGGTTTTTGGAGGTGGTGCTATTGAATGTTCTGTTATGGAGACTGTAAGAACATGAGCATTTTTGAAACCTGCTATGTCCTGCTGGCAGTAAACCCCTGGACAAAGCTACTACTAATTTAGCACCTTGTTAGGGAAGCCACGTGACCCTTAAAAACACCATCAATATATTCTGTTCTTTATACTTGTGGTTGCCACTCCCCCCTCCCCTTCTCTTTTCTTCACCACTTAATAAATTTTCCAAATACAAGATAACCTTCGACCAAGTGACCTACTTGTAATAAGAAACAGACACCCTCTTATATACAGCCCCCATATTTCTATTGATTTGCCCATCTCATGCGATGAGTTATTACCCCCTCAGCTTTTCTAAACATTGATATCTGACGGTGAGTGTTGGAGTATGGGTTCTCTCTTCAACTATTAACAGGTTGCTCTCTGCCACTTGCCAACATACTAGGGGCTATGAGCTGCTCCACAGACGCATCTAGCCAAGTCAGAGCATGTGTTCGGACCTCTTGCTGCGCCTGGACCAGTGATGCATGCTCCCCGCTCGGGTGGTCCCGTGTCCAAGGATGAAGGCGGTGACACCGCTAAGTACCAAAAGACGGGATTGGCGACTCCAGGTTCCCCACCTCGCGGTGGGAGTGTGCATCGGTCCGGACACCAGCTCTCCTGAGGACCAATCCCACTAAGTTGCTTGATCGTAACTTTTCATGAAGTTTGTAATTGTTATTTATTATGCAAATTATACAGTTGTTTACTACACCTAGGGCAGTAAGAATTTGCCAAAGGTAGTGATTAGCCCAACTGTGTTAAAATATTCTTAGATGATGAAGATTCCTCAGTGTGTGTATATATTTATTTCTGTACTTTTAGAGGGAATGTTTTCTTTTGGTGTAATATTAAAGTATCTTTTGGGAATATTCCCATTTTAAAAATAATTTAATAAAGTAGTATTGACTATATGAAAACCTTTCCTTTTAAAAGTATTTGGTCATCTCCAGGAGAAGCAGTTTTGGAAAGCTATCAAGGTTTTTTTATCTCCCAAGTCCTGAGTGCAACCAGTTAGCTGATTGACTGTAAAGCTCCCATAAGTTATAGTTTAATAAGGATGCAATATTGCATAACCTCTCTAAGGCCTTTAGTAAAACTAAAATATTGCTGTGTTAACCTAGAAAATTGGAATTTCCAATTTACTGTAGCTCAATAATCAAACTATAAGGTTACCTAAGCAGAGCTTTGGTATGTTCATGCTGGGCATAGTAGTTTGGCAGTCACATCATAGTATGTTTTTGTCTTTCAATCACTGCTCTTCCTAGAGTTGGAGACAATGTTTTTTGATCCCAAAAATCTGCTGTTAAGTGGTATTTTAACTCTCAGCTCCTTACTTAACAATTTTATAATTAAATTCAGAATTCAATACCCAGGTGTAGGTTAGCTCTTTTCACTAGGTTAAATAAGTCCTTGTTTTGTGAGAATCAAATATTATTGTTAAATTTGTTACTAACATTTTTCTACCTTTCACTGTCCTGGCGTGGCTTTTCCCTACACGTCAATTTTCTTGGTCAATCTTTAGATGTGGAAGATGTCAAGTTCGTCATAAACTATGACTACCCTAACAGCTCAGAGGACTATGTGCACCGCATTGGCCGTACAGCCCGCAGCACAAACAAGGGTACTGCATATACTTTCTTCACCCCTGGCAACCTCAAACAGGCACGTGAACTGGTCAAAGTGTTAGAAGAAGCTCGTCAAACCATCAACCCAAAGCTCATGCAGCTAGTGGATCACCGTGGTGGTGGTGGTGGTATGTATCCATGATTAATAAAGCTTTATTTACAGCACTAAATTAATCTGTAATGGAGTGCGATTTCTAATCTGGCATTTAGAGAACGATAAGACTTGAAAGGAAACCTACATTTCCCTTGATATTCCGTCAGTATTTTTTTTTTTTTTTTTGAAAGCTGGCTGAGCTGGACAAATACCTCAGCAATGCCAAGTTTAGTGATATATCCTTTTAACATTACCTCTAAGCAGTTTTATATAACAGGATTTTAACGGTGCCACAGCATAGGATGTATCAATGTTTCGTTGTCCTGTCTGTTCAGTTGATTAACTTGCGCTCCTTTCCAAATTTTAATCATTTTAAAATCTTTATTAATCATGCTAGGGGGCCGCTCCAGATATCGCAGTATTCCTACAAGTAACAATCCCAACATGATGTATCAGGAAGAATGTGACCGAAGAATGCGTGGTAAAGATGGTGGAAGACGTGATGGAAGAAACGGCAATCGTGATGGTGGTGTAACGAGCAATGGGTCTGGTAGAGACCAGGGCAGGCAGAATTACTCCTACGCAAACCAGAGCTCTAACTTCCAACCCAGCCAATATGGCTACGGGCAGGGCGCCTTCACAGCAGGGGCAGCCAGCAGCTATGGTGCTACAACATATGGCCAAGCACCACAGCCGCTGATGTCCCAGCAGTTCGCCCCGCCCGGTACACCCGGCTTACTAAACTATATGAATCAGGCTCCCAACTACCAGTACCCGCCTCCCCCTCCACCACCTCCCCCTCCTACTCGCAAGTGATCCTTTTAGTTTTCCCTTCGGACCAAACATTACTTTGAAAGAATTTGTTATTTTTTTTAATGTTCAAATCCTGTGCTCCCTTATTTTTGTATTCTGGAAAGCTGAAACATTTGAAACTGAATATTCTGAAGTCAATTCTTTTCCATATAATTAAAACTAGGAAATGCCTATGTTTGTGTTGGTGGTGACCATAGCTGGTAGACTGCTGATGTCTTTGTGTGTGTGTGTGTGTGTGCATGTGTGTATATATAACTATATATTTACATATGCTTATATAGATATATATATACGCACTCACACAAACCTCCACCCACCCCTTATTTTTCCTTTTTTTTTAATTTTTTTTTTTTTATAAATATTCTTTTCAGGGTTGTTTTGTTTTTGGTTTTTGTTTTCTCTGCTCCAGGTAGGTAAAATTAAAGCACAGTATAGGTTTTTAGCTGCTCTAAATTCTGAAATGGTCAGTATTTATCATTTTGTGTTGTACATTTTACCCTATCATTGGGCAGCCCCTGCAGCTGTGTAACAATGGAGTATTGGACTGCTGTGAGTCACTGCCAAACAGACATTTTATTTTCTCCCCCATCATCTTTCTAAACTCTGGGAATAATAAAGGGGTTGTGGATCTTAAGAGTTTGTTCACTTAATTCAGTGAGTTGATCTCAAGCTATGTGGCATTGTCACATACTATACTTTTTTTATTTTTTATTTTATAATAGTTTTTTTTCCCCCTCCCTTCAATACACTAACCCTTTTACTCAGGACTTAAAGATTCCATTGCAGAAACAGGTAATTTTCAGGTTACCTTGATTTATGTTAGTTTTGGCATGTATCTTGTTTCTGCCCACCCCTTTCTCTCTCTTTTTTTTGTTTTTGTAAATTGTAGTTTTGGTATTGATTGCCTTGTTTTTGTAAATACAAATAAACCATTTTAAAGTAAATACCAGGCTGATTATTTTTTTCCCTCATATATTATGGAATTGCTTATTGAGGAAGTTATCACTTCTCAATGTCAAAGCAAGGAATCACACACAAAAAACTCAGTGTTTTTGTTTTGTTCAGGCATACTGAATATTTAACCCCTTAAGGACACCTTCTGGAATAAAAGGGAATCATGACGGAATATTTCCATCATGTGTTCTTAAGGGGTTAACTACACACACCAGATGCATAAACATTTCTGTTTTTGCATAAACATAATTTTGGAAAGGGTTTTGGATGCTTTTGTTCAATTTTTTTTTCTTTCGTTTGTTAGAATAGACCTTTTTGCATAGGACTGAGCTAAAGGAGACTATGACCAGGACTACCCTCATAACAGTGACGTATGTCACTGTAATGCCACATATATGCTTGCAGCAAAGCCAGTGTGTTGGTGTTGCACGGAAGAATTCTACTTTTATTGAAAGTGTAATAAGCTGGGTCAATCACATTACAGAGGAGTGAAATCGGAAAGGTTGTGTAATATTCGTGTAACACTTGTGTGCATCTAAGAATGGCAAGGCTGGACAGATGTGAAGTGTATAACTGCTGAAGCAAATACATCCCTTTTCATTAAATATTTGTTGCTTTGGTGGCTATTAGATTTTAGCTGAACCTGTCATTAGAGTTATCACATTATTTAAAACGATTACTATTATACCCATCTATGTATTCCAAACTTTAACAATGTAGAGTTGGGAATATAAATATGTATTATTATGCCATGCTACAACAATATGGCCAAGCACCACAGCCGCTGATGTCAGCCAGATGTTGCACATCCGGATTACTAAACTATACCCTAGTGGTCCTGATGACTACAATGTCTTTTAAGGGTTATTCCTTCTGTCTCTTTGATTTTAACATTTTCACTTATGGAGCACCAATGATTATGTACTTATGGGTACCCCCTAATGAGTCCTTTTCTTTTCTGTTCTACTCCTCTTCGGGTAGTCTTTAGACTGGATGGCTGAGCATACTAGGAGCTATAGACAATAGTGGTAGTATAATAAAACACCCTTGAAGGTGTTTTTTCAGGAGATTCAGGGTTTTTAGAGCAGTATTTAGGATTATTTGTTAGCTAGCTACGCTTACTGACTCTCTCACCTTTTTTCCACCTACCTACACTGATAGAGGGGACTTTTCTATAGATATCCCCATTATAAGTATGAACTTGGGCAGCCAATTTAACCTCCTTTCGAAGGGGTAGGAGGGATGACTATAGAAACGGTTACGTACTAGCTCTTACACTGCATATATCCCTGTTACAGTAACTCCTGCTATTAATTTTGACTACTCACGCTGCTGCTCCACTTTGTATACAGTCAGGAGGATTTAGTCTAGATTCTCTATTTAGCGTATGTACCCTACCATACACACAAGTTCCCTCAGATGTTGGATCTCAGCGGCATTTATAAGTTACCATGCACTAAGGACTTTGGTTTTTCTGAGACCTCTTGGTGGGAAATTAGTGGATAAGGGTTTTCTTTATATACCAGTAATTTGTGTTGTTTCCAGATGTAAGTATTGTATCTTATTGCATAGAAATAATAAAGTTACTAGTTCCTTTGGATACATGAGACAGTATCTGGATTTGTGGAAGCTAGACCTCCTATACAGCAGTTTACCCAGAGGCAATATCTTTAGCTGTTAAACATTCTTTTCATTTTTGTTCTATTGACACTAATATTTGTTCTATTGACACTAATATATCAGCACCTGAGATCCCCCCTGGTGTGTTGTACTATTTCTCCTGTTTGTTTTTCATTGTAATGTCTTAAACATTTGTAGTTTTTACAGGAATATATCTTGTAGTGGGAGATGTCAAGTAGACCCGACTTTCTTGGAAAGTGCAGTTAGTATTGTTGTATGTGAAGTGTAGGAATAAGTGGTTATGAAGCAAAGATTCAGCTTAGATTTGAGTTGCACATGTTTATAGCTTAAAGTACTTAGCAATTTTTTTTAGCATGCATTACTCAAGTATGACTTTGGATTACTCAATACAGTTCAGTTCTCTGGCTGCTGCATCTAAAATCAGAAACCAGGAAACTTTACCAAGCAAACCATGTACAATACAATGTGCTTTTTGGCTTAAGTCCATCCATGTCTGATATTCATGGTGGAGATCTTTCCCATAGTCTATAATACAGGGGGGGTGCCCAAAAGGTAGATTTCCAGATGTTGTATAACTAAAACTCCCTTGATGCTTTGCATGTCTTTAAAATGACAACATATCATGGAAACTGTAGTTTTAAACCATCTGGGGATCTGCCTTTTGGGCAGCCCTGCTGTAATATATACACTCACAATATGTGGTGGATCTTCATATTGAAAACTAGAACACCTTATGATTAAATGTAGTATGGGTTGTTTTTTTTTTTTTTTTTCTGTTAATACAGCGGAGGACCGTTTGGTACAGATGCCTTCAAAGGTTTAATGAGGGGCATATCTGGGGTAACTTCCCAATACTCTGCTAGGTGTATTTGACATTGCTACAATCGTTCGTAATTCTCGGTCAAGTGTTGTATCAGGGTGGTGCCTGTTCAAGGGCATTGCAAAGGAGCTTTACGTCACAGACCCCTGAGCCTGGTCTCTGTCTGGACTGTATGAGCGTTGGGTCGTCCACTGTGCTAGTCTCTAACGGTGTTGTGTCACGTGTTGAACCATCTTTAACGTTTTAAACTTAGGGCAACAGGGGGATAAGGTGGGGAAAGTGAGGGTATACCCAAGGGTGGGGGGTAGAAAGAGAGGAGTAGAAGAAGAAAGAAAAAAAAAAAGGAGGGAGGGTGGAGGTTGGGTGAGGGGGTACATGTAGCCCTGTTTAGGTTGATCAGAATAGGTTCTGGTATAGATGCCAATAGGAGTGGTGGTCAGTTCCTCTAAGGCTCACCTCCCCTTTGTATCTCCAGCGTTTTGTTTTCATCTTTACATATATTAATATTTGATTCTTGTCCTGTTTAGCCCATAGTAATCATTTTGCTATATTTAATTGTAATAGTGTTATTGTATATTAGCAGTTTTTTTTTTCTTTCCCTTCAGTATATTATTTTGCTTCTGGTATTTAGTATTATAAACTCTTAACAACATGAATTGGTAAAGGGTGAGTGCGATTGTCCTACGCATAAGTATTCTGTTTCTTTATTGATGGTTTAGTCAGGGTACCTATTGTGTCGCCCCTAACTTCTTTTAGATTTAGTACCTTTTTTTCAGTTCCATTTAGTGGACAAGAGCACTAAATAGCTTCCGCTTGCATTAAATTACTGTTGCACATAAGGGTAGATAATAGAATAGGATTGGAATATTCAGATATTGTAGATTTTCCTTTATTCCTGCATATGTACGGGTATTTTAACTTACCTGATCCTGGGCAGTCCTGGAAATGTTTCACTGGGTGGTGGTTGTGATTTTTATTGCTCTACCCTCTATTTACTTGATAAAGTAACTTGCACAAAATACAGACTTTTTCCTCACCAGTGCTATATCTGCAATTTTGTGTTAGGTTATGCTGCCACTTTGAACTGAGGTCACAGTGAGTACCTGGCTGACATTATACTGAGGTTTTATCCCTAGCTATGGAGAGTGTTTTCTGTGAGATTTAAACTAACTTGTGTGGTTGTGAATGTATTTATGCATACAGTCACACACATACAGAATTGCAGAGAAATACTAGGATTTTCTTTTGCTCATACATGTAGGAAAAAGAACAAGGATTGAAAGGTGCACTTTCATTGTGATTCACAATAGGAGAGAAATTGTCCTATGTAACCCCAGCTCAGATCTGTGCCTACCTGCAAGCCATACTATCCTGCTTCATGTTATTCTCCTCCATGCCAATCATCCTAGACCTCTCCTATAAAATAAAGTAAAATGTCCTAGTTCCCTACATTTGCTTCCTCTTCTTAGTCTCCCTGGCATATGGTTCTGGTGACTTTGGCATCACATCACTAAGATCACTGAGCATCACCTGCCCAAAAATCTCTGTATGTAAAACACAAGATAAAAGTGCCTTGATGTCCCCCTGCAACTGAGGCTGGTGACATCCTGTCTACAACATTGCTAGACTGTGTTCACAAGTGGAACCCACTCTTCTTCAAAGGACATCTGCCCACTTACTATTTATCCTGTCCACCCTATGACCGTTGATCTTTTGATGCATTACATGCAAATGTCATTTAACATTGCACTTCTATTTAAAATTTTAGTATAAGGGTTACTGTTCCTTGAGAGGGTTCTAATATTTGTATTACCAAGTTACATTGATGCTGAAATGGGCTACAAGACCATCGCCAAACAGCTTGGTGAGAAGGTGACCGCAGTTGGTGTGATTTATTCGTAAATGGAAGAAACACAAAATAACCGTCAGTCTACCTCGGTTTGGTGCTCCATGCAAGATCTCACCTCGTGGAGTTTCAATGATCATGAGAACAGTGAGGAATCAGCCCAGAACTAAACGGGAGGATCTTGTTAATGATCTCAAGGCAGCTGGGTGGGACCAAATCACCAAAAAAACAATTGTACTGTGAAGGATTGAAATCCTGCAGCGCCTGCAAGTTTCCCTGCTCAAGAAAGCACATTTACAGGCCCATCTGAAGTTTGCCAATGAACATCAATAATTCAGAGGAGAACTAGGTGTAAGTGTTGTGGCATCAACTCCACCCGCTGTGTTTGGAGGAGGAGTAATGCGGCCTATGACCCCAAGAACACCATCAAACATGGAGGTGGAAACATTATGCTTTGGGGGTGTTTTTCTGCTAAGGGGACAGGACAACTGCACAGGGCCATGCTCCTCAGCGAGGGCATTGAAAATGAGTCGTGGATGTGTACTCGAGCATGACACTGACCCAAAATACACAGCCAAGGCAACAAAGGAGGGACTCAAGAAGAAGCACATTAAGGTTGCCAGACCTTAATCCCATTGATAATCTGCGGAGGGAGCTGAAGGTTCAAGTTGCCAAACGTCAGC